TTTGAGGAGTTGCAGAAGAGTGTATTAAGTAAGATAGAGAGTGCCCCCGCCCCCAACGAGGCTGGTGCAGTGGTCAGCCCAACCAGGCAGGACCTTTGGGGGGATTTTAGATCCACCCTGAGTGCATGGAAATCAAATCCACAATACTTATCACAGCCCTCTAGACCCTGTGTGATTTGACTTCCTTGTCTCTGTATCCCTTATTTTCTGACCTCATGCCTTACCTTCATCCCTTGATAAATCACAAGATCCTCACAACTGACATGTGTCTTATACTTTACACATTTTTTGTTTTGCAAATTACTTGGAACATAGTAGGTCCCCAATTGATGACTGTGGTTCTCTTTCCATTCTGATAATTTGGACTTTGGTATTTTTGAATTAGCACAAGATCCATAACCTTATCCAGTTGCCATAATATTTAGAAGGAAATGTAGCATCCATTGAGAACTTACTGCATTGTCAAGATTAGTGTCAAGCACTTCACATGCATTATCTCAGTTTGTCTTCGAAACAGTCCTATGAAATAGATATTGCCATTGTCTAAAATTGACAGTGGAGTCACAGCAAAGGCTTCTGACCAAGTAAAGAATTCAGGTCTCTGATGCCAAGTTCTGTGTTATTAACCACTGGGACCCATGGGGCATTCATTTAAAGATGACATTTACTTGGATCTCATCATTACAGAGGTGCAATAAATACTTACAGAATACAGTATACAGTAAGGATATACTGTAAACATCCCCTTCTTCACTATTGCGATGCATGTTATTTATGTAGAACTTTATAAAAAGTTCTTTTTGTACTTAAAAAATTATGGATGGTTAAAGCAAATCTTCATGTTTTGGGAAGGACTGAACACAGTACCAATGCCCAGGTGTTTCACATTACCAACCAGTAGACAAGCCCATTCTCTAGGTTGGACCCATCAGGTAAAACTGAGAAGTAACCAACAGGCCAAAAAACAAAACCAGCAGACGAATAGTTGCAAATTAACCAAAGAAAACTGCAATCATGACTGGAGAGTATTCCAGGTTTCTGGGCATTTAGGAAAACATTGACTCTACCTTTGCTTCTCCTCATACTCGAAGAGTAACTCTTAGTCTCGGTTTCTGGTGAAAATTGCTTCTTGCCCCTTTAGCTGACAAGCCCTTGGAACTTGTGAAGCACTCAGCTGAACTCATCCATTTATCCACAAGTGTGCTGAGTGTCTCCAAAGAGCTGTGCAAGATACAAAAGAAGCACACAGCAGAGTCTCTCTCCTAGGGAGGAACGAACGAGTCTCAATATGGAAGAGACTTACACCCAACTCTAACGATTACAAACTGGGTACCCAAGTGCTGTCCCTGTGATGGGGTATTGAAATTCCAGAAAAGAGAATGAGGTGAAAGATGAGCTTAGAGTTGAGCTTTGCAGCCAAGGGTGGCCAGGGCTGGCAGTCACCTGAGTGTGGTGAGACTGGATTGCAGGAGAGAAGAGAAGAAGTAAGCTAGAGACTTATGGCTGGAGTAGGGTGGAGACAAGGTCAAGCCCAGTGTGAGAGACAAACAGTCCAACAGGGGACCCTGGTCCTGAGGGATCCAGAAGGCCCCAGGCTTCCACTATAGCCACTCTCTATACCCAGTCTCAAGGCACTTTACAGTTGCTGCCAGCCCTGGCCACACTGAATTCAGGCCCAAGAAGGGTGCTTGCAAGGGCTGATGGCAGTGATGAGCTCAAATGAACAGGCTTTGGGCCCAGTCAGGGTGGGAGGTGAGAGTGACCAGAGGCACTGGAGGTTATGTGCATCAGGGTGCTGAGGAAGAGGTGGGCAGGTCTCGGCTGATGTGGCCTGCTGGCCATCTCTAATTGCCTGTTCTATCTATCTATGCAGCACAGGGGACAGTGTTCAGCTGGGCTTAGTTTGCCAGGAAATCAGGAAAACAGAACTGGGTTAATCTGAGATAGCACCTCTTAACTCATATAGCCTCAGAAGTCACGTGAAGTATCAACATGGTAACTAGAAGACCATGTTCTGCATGCTTAAGAGAGACACATTTGTATTTACCTAAAAATAAACAAAATGTGGATAGCATGGACCTAGGGGAAGTCTGAGTTCAATTCCTTGTTGAATTCTTAGAGTTAATTTATTTTCCTTCTTGGATGTTATTCTTCCTATTATTACCACTCTTCTCCTGCACCAAAAGTAGAGAGGCCAAAAGAGCCAACATGGACTCATACTGTGACATAAAAGAGCACTATGTCATATCACTTTTGGATGAACCAACAATTGTTTATAGCTGTTTTCCAAGTGTGGTTTGAAGATCTGATGCATCAGAATCATGGGGTGTGGTAGTGTGGTTGATACAAATGTGAATTCCTGAACTCAGCCCAGCTCTGTTCTTTACTCTCTGGTGCTGAGGCCCAGGAACCCCTATTAACCAGTTCCCCAGCTGATTCTTATGCACACTTAAGTTTAAGAACCACTGTCAGAGGCTCATGCTCAGGAAATAGGCAACCTACCATATCAGAAGGCCTTTAAATCTCATCATTATTGACTTTGAATGATAGACAAAGGAATATTTAAGTTGAGGTTTCTTACAGCACTAAATAGGACAGAGTGACTTACATTGAAAATCAGCCATTAAAATAACTTTGATAGATTCAATGCAGCAGCCTAACGAGCCCAGGGACTTTACAAACACTGCACCTGTTTAGGCACTGCAAGAACACTGACACGAACCCTTTCACACTAAGCTTCTGTGGTCCCAGCCAAAATCCAAGACAGAAGAGAAAACTACACGAGGGGCAGGGGATGTAGTTTGTTCTCTGCCCCTCCATCCTTCCCTCCGCCTTCAGGAGGGCACTCTTCAGAGTGCTTCTCTGCACTCTGTCATACAACCTTAACCTTAGAGAAAAAGGAATGGTTAGGAGCCAGAGATAAGGAAAAGGAGTGGGGATCAGGTGAGAAGGTGAGGGGAGGAAGCACAGAGAGGTAAGGAAAGACCTAAGGAAACTCAGGAGAGGAAACTCAAGGGAGGAAGTGCCAGGCTCAGTGAAAGAAGACATGGGAATGAAACGGGAAATTAAAGAGCAGTCAGAGAGTAGAGGGACATAGAGAGTGAGTTGTCACCCCAGGGTTAATACGTGGAGAAGAACACCCAAAGCCCAACTTATAAGTGGAAAAATTGATAGATCAAAATGCAGCAGAATTGAAGACTTTCTGTGAAAGATCCTGGTTAAGAAGATAAAAACACAAGTGGGAGAAGATATTTATAAACCACATATCAGGGGGAAAAAAAAGAGCAAATATTTAAGAACCCTAAAAGCAAGCAAAAAAACAACCCAATTCAAAAATGGGCAAAACACATGAATAGGTATTTCACAGAGGACAGCATACATAAGGTGAATAAGCATATTGGAAAGAATGTTCAAAATCATAAGCTATTAGAAAAATGCAAATTAAAACCACAACAAAATATCACTACACACATATCAGAATGACTAATATAAAAAAAAAATAGTGACACCACCAACTGCTACCAAGGACGTGGAGCTGAATCACTCACCCATTGCTCATGAGAATAGCACTCCAGAAAGCGCTCTGAGAGTTCCAGTAAAAACTAGATGGGAAACCACCATGTAACTCAGGATATCTACTCCTAGACATTTATCCCAGAGAACTTAAGTTCTAATACTAGTTTTAAAACTAGTATTCAACTCAAAAACCTTTATACAAATATTTATATCAACTCTCTTCGATATAATAATAGTCAATAACTGGAAAAAATGCAGACTAGTTTCCATGGGCGAATGGTTAAACACAACGTTCACATACACCATGGATTTCTCCTCAACAACAACTTGTTGGTACATGCAGCAATACGAACCTCTAGATAACTACGCTGAGTGAAAGAAGACAATCCCTTTAGGTATTATACAATTTTATTTACATAACATTCTTGAAAATGACAAAATTATAGAAGAGGAGAACAGATTAATTAGTGGTTCCCAGGGCTAAACAGGAGATGGGGCAGGGGCCAGTGGATATGACTATAAAGGACAACAGAGAGGTCCTTACGGTGATGGAAATGTTCTATATCTTCACTGTAACCATGTTCATATCCAGGTTGTGTGACTGTACCTCAGTTTCATAAGATCTTACTATAGGAGAAAACTGGATAAAATGAATGAAAGATCTCTCTGCATTATTTCTTACAACTGCATATTAATCAGTGATTTTTTTAAAGCTTACCTTTAAAAAAGTAATATTAGGTCGGGGGGAGGTGAAGCTCAGTAGTACAGCACTTGCCTGTCATGCGCATGATCCTGGGTTCAATCCCCAACACCACCAAAAAAAAAAAAAATAGTATTGGTATCTCATGATCTCTCTGGTAACTTCTCCTCAATTCTATTTCAAACCCCATTTTAATTCGATGCCAAGAATTAGATCTTGGTCAGTTGAGTCTCCCACAATACTTATTTCTATGTTTCAGGAAGCTTAACTCGATGCCAGTCTTGCACTTGGTGTCGTCTTCTGTGCTGGTGTCCACCCAGAGCAGTTTCCAGCCACCTGTCCATCTAGTTCACTGCTGTACCTCCTCATCTTTGGGGCTGATGATCCCCCTGCCTGGGTTCATTTGGCAGCTCGGGAAGGGCTCAGAGCCCCTTGATGGATATCCATGGGTGATCAGTTACTCTTTGTTTCCTTTCTAATACTCCTTTCTTTCAATTCAAAGTGTATCTACCCTGATGACACAAAAGGGTATCTGACAGTGGTTATAGTCTTCCAAATCTTATATCATAGGTCTGTTCCTCTCATTTTCTGCCTTTGATTCTCATCATTTTGCGGACTCATCCTCCTTGGGGACAAGTATCGAGTCCCTTCGCTGCTCTGGAATAGGTCAGAATAGCAGAAGTCTGGAGGAGAACCCTCCTGTCAACACGTTGAAGTATTATCCTGGGGTATTTTCTACCATCTCTCTTCCCTTAGCCCACTTATCCTCTTATTTGTCCCCTAGCTTGTGGCCCAGGTCCTGGAACATAAGGATATAGGCTTTGTGATGGTGGATGCCAAGAAAGAAGCCAAGCTTGCCAAGAAACTGGGTAAGTGTGATTTTTGAGATATACGAGGAAGAGACAATGGTGTATTCTATTAAAAAAAAAGTATAGTTGCATTTATCCTTGCATGCTAACTTGGACTATTTTTAAATACCTGTAAAATGATCTTGCATACCTCATGTAAATCTACGCCTAAACTAAATCTCATCATATTAATCATTGAGTGCATCTTTGTTATCAGTTTAACAGAAGGTTTCTGGTTTAGAAGCTAACTCTAAAGACTCCAGCCTTTATTTCTAGCTCCTAAAACAGCTGAAGGCTTCTCCTCCCTCTCTTGGAGAAAGCTACGCTCTCTTATTCCATCACTACTATTTTCTTGCCTCTTGGCTAAAGCAGCCAGCAAAAGATACTATTGATGGCTGTGACTCCAGGGCCCCAGGAGTTTCTAAACTTAAGGATCAGCCCCAGCTGGACATTATCACCTAGGATGAGGAGGAGGATTTAGGGGAGGTACGGTTAAGTGACTACAAGGTGGGAGCTATAATCTCTCGTGTCAATATGTCATGCTTAAGTGCAAGTGCCCTTTAAGATTCTCACTCTACAATCCCAAGGAGAGAGGATATAGGTAACTCCTCTAGTTTCCAAACAGCCACTTGTATGTACTGCCCATTTGGCATTTTCTGCATGACCAGTGAAGAATGGCTATTAAAAAAAATAGCAGGAGGTTATAAAACAGGACCTTTGAAGAAAGGTTAATTGGATTTGGAGTAGTAAGCACAGAAAGAAAAAAAAATAGCTTAGTGGTGGTTCAGGTACATGAAAGTTCGTTATTCTGGAGAATTACAAAAAAAAAAAACATTTTCTATTTTATTTTCTAGAGAAGACTTAAATTATGGAAAACTATTTACGTCAGACACAAGGAAGAACTCATGCCTAGAAAATGATAATGACTTATGAAGAATGCCTAGGATATCTCTTTCCCTGGAAAAAAAATATTAAGGAATAGTTTTTTTTTTCTCCTTGAGTATGGGAGCAAAATACATTGAACTGTTTTCCTAGAATCAAAATCAATTTTATGAATTCTGCCTCTTCCCCTGATAGCCGACTGAGTCCTAGTTGTCTCCTAGCCATTGTTTTAACGAGTATGTTGCATTTGGGAGAATTTTTGGTAGATTTAGCTAGAAGAACCTGCTCGTGTCTAGCAATCTATAAATTCAGTTAGGACAAGATGGGCAAGAGTTAGTAAGTAAAAAAAAAAAACAGCAAAAGTTGGGATAGGGCTTGGTATGTCTAAGTAAACTGTTTTCTAGGCTCAGCAAGGAAGGGCTGGGGGGTAGTGAGAGGTAGAACACTTGCCTAGCATGCATATGGCCCTGGTTTTAATCCCCAGCACTGTGATAACTATATAAATAATAAATACAAAATTTAAAAACAAGCTCACCTTGGGGGAATTGCAGGAGGTTTCTTCTGACTGTTTGATCCTTGGGGTCCACAGGATGTGATCACACTTTGTTAATGAGCCCTTTTATCCTTGACCACTCTTCCATTGGCCGTAGTCTGGTCTTTGGTAACTGGTTCTGCTCAGGACAAAAAGTTTATTTAGACCTATCAAGCCCCTTCATGTCTTTTGCTGATCTATTCTTATGCACTCTTGCCCAGCTTGTTCTAACTACATTTGTAGATTGCTAGAACACTAGCATTTTCTTCTAGCTAAATTTACTGGACATTCTTTCAAACACAACATCAGCAGGACTCTGGCTGATGTTCCCTGTAGTCCCTTCCAAGATCAGCTATTGCCAGCCTCAAAGACACCTAGCACATTTCTCCTTTTTATTTATGAACAACGCTCTCTGATATGCCAAGGGTTCCTCAGCAATCCAGCCTTCCTGCCCCTGGAGGTTAGGCAGAAGAGTTCATTTGGAGAAAGCATTCTCCAACTAATAGAGAATTTGGAAAAAAATTAATGTAAGGAATTAGGGATGTTCTGCAATTGGAGTAAATACCAGCCTCACCTACTTACCATCACTGAGGGGCTGGAAATGCAGTTTTTCAACAAGCATTTGTTGAAGCACATGACAGTACACCAAGGGCACTGGAGGGTAGCAAAGAAGATATAGAGCCGTCTTTGCTTTAATCTCTCAGTGGAGTAAGGAAGATGTGCCTTTCAGTTAGAATAGAAATGCAGGCTGTCCACATGCATTTATGGGGTACCGATCAATGTGTACAGCTCTGTGCAAATCGCTACGACACCAAGAAGACAATAACCCTATCCTCAGAGAACCTGTTAAAGTGAGTCCCTGCAAATGGAACTGAGGGAAGATCAATAATGGCATGAACCCTGTGAGATCGCAGTGATGTTCTCAGGAAAAAAAATGAGTCCTAAGCTAAGACCTGAAGTAGCTAATGAAGACAGGGTGGAGGGTGGCCCAGTGGAGGTCACCCCAGGCTTGGGGAGCAAGGAGAACCTAAATGTACAGAACCCTGCTCTGGGACTCTTCCTTTCCACAGCCTGTCATTTCAGCATGTGGGCAGGAAGCAAAAGGAACGGTATGAGTGGCCAGAGAGCAGGTCTCAAAGGAGAGGGTGTAGCCAAGGGAGGGTGGAAGACATAGGATTGTCACAGGGGCAGAGGGACTTGAACACCAGGCTAAGGAGTGAGGTGGGTAGTGGGTGTTAAATTTTTCCAATAAGGAGAATGATGTGGGACCAGCAGTGGTTTTTTGTTTTGTTTTGTTTTTAAAACATAGTGGTAGGATAGAGAATAGATTTTTCTTTTAAGTTAAAATACAGATGCAATTGTTAGTTCTTGGCTATTTCAAATTATGCCCACTTTGAGAGCCCTTTAGATGGGTTGTTTTGAGAAGACCCGTCCTTGGGTTAAGGCTATTTCCACTAATCCCAATCTTGCTGCCACTCAGGGCCAATGTGGTGACTTCCTACATCAGAATGACCTTATTCTTGGGCCTCTTTGTATCTTCCAGGTTTCAATGAAGAAGGAAGCCTGTACATTCTCAAGGGGGATCGCACAATTGAGTTTGATGGCGAGTTTGCAGCTGATGTCTTGGTGGAGTTTCTTTTGGATGTGAGCATTTATGCACAGTGGTCTTGCATGGAGGGAGGTAAAGCCACAAGGAAGAACAGAGGAGATGGTGAGAAGACAGGTTTCTCAGGCTTCAAGAAAAAACGAAAGAACAATTCTATCCCCGTGCTAACTATTTTTCCTGGGATTTGGCCCCTAAATCACCCTAGAAATTGCATATCAAAGAGTCACAGATTGGGACCATGCAGTAGTAACACAAGGGTTTTTTACCAGTAGACATTGACGTCCACTGAAATTCCCTCAGCTGGGCTCCAGTGCTGCTGAGGAGGAGCTGGGGATTATGGGAGAGAGTGGGAAACCTGTCACTGGAAGAGAGAGGAGGGACCAAAAGGCTGAGTTGTCCCAAGTTTCCTCAGAACAGCATCAAGGAGAGGCAGGGAGCACTAAAGAGCCCCCCCAAAATCACACTCACTCCCAGCAGAAGAGGTACTACAACCTCAGATCCATAAGCTCAGAGAAACCGGAGCAAACGCTATAAAAATATTTTACTCATAGATAAACTCACATTTTCAATACCAGCTGTGGAGCTAAATGCTTTGGAACACAAATTCTGCAAGATAAAGGATCTACCATTGAATCTCTGTCCATACTGATCATTCCTTGTCTACCAGATGGCACCCCGTGGTTTATTGCTTCCTATCTACAGTCTACAACTCAATTCTGACCTGTTCTCTCTCTGCCATCTTGTTGGCTCACACTTATAAGCCCTGAAAAAGTTGAGAGAAGTAGCATAATAATAACTCTGGACCACCATGGTGCCCCTTGCCCCTGCAGCTTTATCAATGAGGATGGGGCTTTGCAAATGAGTCTCTACCTTCTTCAAACAATAAGCCATGTGATTGACCAACATAGGTAGAAAGTCAGAGTTAGGGCAGACTTTATCCAATCAGGGTTCTAGCTCTGTAAATCACAGATAATTCTGCTTTCAGAATCTGGCCTTGGTCCTCAGCTGACTATTCTCAAGTTAATTATAAGGTGGCCGGAAGATGGCTGATGTTTCCTCATTGATATCCATGAGAGAAAAACCCCAACTCTGGCTTCTCATTGTTCTCTTAAGAATCCCAAACTTTCCCAGAGCCTCGTTGGGCCAGAAATAGGCCACATGTCCATTCATGAATCAATAAGAGGCAAGTGAAGTGATGGAATGAACCCAAGTGTCCATCAATTCATGAATAGATAAAGAAAATGTAGTGCATCTACACAATAAAGTACTATCTAGCTTTAGAAAAAGAGAATTTGTTATTAGCAACAATATGGATGGAACTGGAGACCATTATGCTGAGTGAAAGAAGCCAGACCCCCAGAGACAAATATTGCATGTTTTTGCTTATATGTGGAACTGAAAGCAATTGAACGAAAAAGAAGCAGAGAGTAGCATAATGGTGCCAGAGACTCCAGTGGGGGCGGGGGAATGGGAAGATGATCAAATGGGGCCAAGCCTTAATCAGACAGAAGGAGTAAGTTTTTTTCCCTGTGAGATGCGTTGCATAGCATGGCAAGCACAGTAAATAGTAACAGATTGTACATTTTAAAAAATCACTAAATTTCAAATGTTCTCGTCACTTTTTGTGATGAGACAAATATATGAGGTGGTGCTTATTTTAATTAGCTTGATTTAATTATTTGGCATCATATCCATAATTCATAACATCACTTCATACCCCACACATATATACAATCACAATTTGTCAATTTACTATATATATATATTTTTTTATAAAAAAAAAATTTATATATATATATTTAAATGGCAATAGGAAAAGAGTGGCCCCCAGAACAATCATCTCATCCCTCTATTATAAGGTCAGTTTCTTCAAAAGTACTGTGGCTGAGCTGCTTGGGGAGTGGGGGATGGATGCTTCAGGTCCCAACCGCAAAGCCTGCTACAGCTTCCCCAGGAAGCACTCTGTTTCCCCGCTGGGGAGGACAGAGTTTTCTGATTTGAACATATTTGTGTGTGTGTGTGTGTGTGTGTGTGTGTGTGTGGCATTTCAGGTGATTGAAGACCCAGTGGAGATCATCAATACCAAGCTGGAAGTCCAGGCCTTCGAACGCCTTGAGGACCAGATCAAACTCCTTGGCTTTTTCAAGAGTGAAGACTCGGAATGTAAGTTCCGTCCACCCCTGCCTGCAAGTCTAAAGGCCAGATTCCCAGCAAGGATGTTAGATTATCTTAATGGAGGATGTGTCTTCAGCATCCCTATTCTGGGCAGGATAGTGGTTAGAATCCCTCCTCTTCCCTGTGCAGGGGAACATGTGCTGGAAGAACATTAAGGTGGGGCCATGATCTCTGGCCTTTCCGCAAGGAGAAAGCCCCTTTCCTCCACTTTCTTACCCATCCACCTTCCAGTTGGATTCTCCTCTAAATTGGAACACACAGTATGTCATCTCCCTGATACTGGTAGTTCTTGTGGTCACCAGTTGGAGAGCTTCTCAGTCAACTGAGAAAGAATTAGAGGAAAATTTGGATGGGGATGGGCTTAGCAGCTGCTACCGACTGTGGAAATTGCTGGTCAAACCCACAGCTGATGACCAGGCTGCCAGCCCCAGTGCCACCACACCCTTGGGCATCTTCCTTATGAAGGCTTTGTGGCCAGGTTTGGGGTGGGCACAGGAACTGAGCAGAGCATTATCACAGCCCATTCAAGGTTGAGATGGTGGTGGGTGGGAGTCAGGCAGAGGAGGAGGAAGGGACCAGAAAGGTAGAAAGGGCAACTACTGAGTGCATTTTAAAAAAAAATTGCTTTGGCAGTCTGGACCCAATGAACTGAGCCTTTTCCTTGTGTCTCAGCCTTGGAGAGAGGAAAAATGAAAGAGGGTGGGGATAAGGATGAGAGAATCTGGTGGTAGCATAGTACAAGTAGGAGGTACAAATATGGTCTGCTTCTGACTATTTCTGGAAACCTCCAAATATTTTGAAATTATTTGCAAAGCTGTGTCTTTACTCAGTCTGCCCACTGGCACCCTCAGTCACCTCATCAACAACAACCCACCTGTTTTCTCTCTTCCATGCCCCAACTTAACCCTCTTCTCACTCGCTTCATTAAAACCTCCATTCCCAGTGCTCAAAAGGGGTGCCTTCAGGAACAGTGCCAGCCCCAGAGAATTTCACCCCAGTTCTTTGGGCACTGACTACTCCAGGAAGCTTCTCCCGTCCCCTTCTCCTTTCTCCTCTTTGTATAATTTCCTTCTGTTTCCCATTTGCTGTTCGGTCCTTCCCTCTTCATTGTTTCCACCCTATGTTTCTCTCTCCTTCTCCACTGAGCTCAGGTGGCTGGTAAGGTCAAAGGTGAAGCTAAGCATGAGGAGCACCTTTCCTACCTTTCTTCCTCTGAGCTAGTAATCATAATAGCTCCATTTAATTAACACCTATCACAGTCCAGGGCCTAAGCTAGGAGCTTCATATGGAGAATTTCATCATCACAATAAGCCGGTGAGGTAGTTATCACTGTATCTGCATTTTAATAATGAGGAAGGGGTGGAGCAAAAGAGTCAATGAACTCAACCAGGATCATGCAGCTAGTAGATGGGGGAACCACGATTCTAATTCCAGAACTTTAGAGTTACTAGAACTACTGGGTTATACTTTTGAGACTTCAGGTCATGGCACACCAAAAATATGATAATGCTTAAAAGCACAGAATGAGGGTAAACTGGAAGGGATTGGGGCTTAGTTAAAAAAAAAAAGAGTTTACTTTCTTTATTTTATATAATAATGGTAGAAGGTAAAATAGGAAACACATCACCATATCACGCTGTAAAAATTTTTCAGATAAAGTATTTTTTAGAATTTGAATAAGAATCTTGAGCTTGTTTCCAAGCATGAAGCCTTTTGATATCAAGCATTATGCTTGAAGTCGCAGCATGTAACTCCTGACCAAGGTTTTTAGTGAAGAGCTCTTCAAATTCTTGATGGTCACCACTGATAAGAGACTTGCTTACACATATAAATGGTGGCCAATGACTGGATAGCATTCATTGCTTTTTCTTTAACTGATGAAAATTCTTTCTTGTCTTTGGACATAGTTCAGATCATTAATAATTAATAATAATAATTCAATCTCGGATAATCCATTCAATTTGACAGCTATGACTCTGCTTTTCATTGACAAATATAATGTTCATATTTCTTGTGATAATTTGATTGAATTTCAAATCAAATCAAATCCTTTTACATCATATTGTATATTTTGAAATAATAATAAAGCTTTTTCTTAGGAATTTATAGATACTATCTTCCTGGTCTTTATAATCATTCTTAAAATCTAAATAACAAAACTACTAGTAGGCCATTTTTATTTCCTTTTGTAAGTGGAATTATTACTTCAGTATTGCTAAACATTTTCAGTACATTATATGTTTCACATGGGCATATTTTAATTAAGTTCAGTAAAATGCTCTGCAAGATTCAGTGTTTTTCAAAGTCAATGATTATCCTCCAAAATTTTTCCAAAGTGAGTACAGTTCACAATTTAGTTTTTAATTCATGTCTTTGCTGATAAACTTTTAAGATTCTCCTTGGAGAGTTAATCTGCATCACTGTGATACAGAGCAAGTGGGGGGTTCTTTACCAAAAGGAGGGTTTAATTGGTTTGGATGTTAAGTCACCTTCTTTTTTAAATTTACTTTTATTTTTTTGAGACAGGGTCTCACTAAATTGATTATGACCTTGTTAAATTTCTGAGGCTGGCTTTGAACTTGACATCCTTCTGCCTCAGCCTCCCAAGTTGCTGGGATTACAAGGGTGCACCACCATGCCCAGGGAGGTACCTTCTCATTTTATGTGCAGTTCAGACTCATAGGTAAAACTTTATATGACAGAGCTTTTCTGTGAACGAATGTCACAGAATCTCAAGATCCTCAGAAAGAACTATGTATAAGCCTTAACACCTTCTCATTGCTGCAGTTGCATCATTAGTGAACAAACTAGAAGTTTTCCAAAATCTGTTGAGATGGCATTCGTCTACCCTTTTGAGTATTTCATGCCTCAAAACATGGTTTGATTCTTCTTTATAAGACAAAAGATGTTATCTCAATCATTTCTCTTCAAGGTTTCTAACTGGTGCAATTAGCCACACCCAGCTACTCAAGTCTGATATACTAATATCCCAGTGGGAAAAAACCCTGAGAGAAGGGGGACATGAGGGAACCCTAAGTCTTTGGTAAGCTAGAGCTTGAGGGATGAATGTTCAGGATTATTGGACCCTAGACAGAGCACACAAGAAGACCAGGTGTTCTGGAAGACAAGTGCTAAAAGTTCAACCACATTTTGAATCATCAACCTGGTGAGTCATCTTGCTCCATCCTTCATCCCAGAGCCCATTGGATCTCCAAGAGAAGAGGCTCCTGACACAGGACCAGTAAATCGTTTCCATCAGAGTCTGAGTTTGAGAGACTCACTGGGAACACTGGGGAAGTGGGAACAGGGGATTCTTAAGGTGCCCACTGCTTCTTTGGTGTTGCTCTAACCATTCCACTTCCTCCCTATCTGTCTCCTCATTTTTCAAATGCCCTCACCTGTTTTCTCCCCCTGTACCCAAACCTTTACTGCAATTATCAGGCTGCAGGGCATCTTTCCTGACTTCCCTTTACTGTGGGGGATGGGGTTTGATCGTATCATCAGTACCAGTGTTCTTGTAAATCTTCAGCCCCGTCTCCTATGCATGCGGCTGTCATCTCCATTAGAGCAGCTGTCACCCTGCACCGTGATTCTTTAAAGCATCCATAGCCCTCCCTGGGGCTTTTAAGATCAGTCTTTTTTAAAAAACTCATCTTAAAAATATCCCCCCTTAAACCAGCATTATTCTCAAAATATTTTTTGATAGGATCTTAGAAAATCCTGCACGGTCCCAGAATCCTATCAAAAGCTACACTCCTGATGGATAAAGGATATGGAATTCCATGAAATGGAAGAAAGTTAATCTTGTTAAGAATAAATCATAAAGGGGTTGGGGATGTGGCTCAAGCGGTAGTGCGCTCGCCTGGCATGTGTGCGGCCTGGGTTCGATCCTCAGCACCACATACAAACAAAGATGTTATGTCCACCGAAAACTAAAAAAATAAATAAATATTAAAATTCAAGAGGAAGTGAGGGGAAAGGGAAAAAAAACAAGGGGGAGAAATGAATTACAGTAGATGGGGTATAGAGAGAAGATGGGAGGGGAGGGGAGGGGAGGGGGGATAGTAGAGGATAGGAAAGGCAGCAGAATACAACAGACACTAGTATGGCAATATGTAAATCAGTGGATGTGTAACCGATGTGATTCTGCAATCTGTATACGGGGTAAAAATGGGAGTTCATAACCCACTTGAATCAAATGTATGAAATATGATATGTCAAGATCTATATAATGTTTTGAACAACCAATAATAAAAATTAAACATAAAATCTCTCTCTCTCCTCTCCCTCTCTCTCTCTCTCTCTCTCTTTAAAAAAAAAGAATAAATCATAAACTCAGGGAGTCTCAGGATTATTAAATTTATTTGGAACAACCACTGCTACTGCCGTTACCATCACCCATACAACTAAGCCTCCAGTGTGGGTATCTTTACCAAGTACCTGCCTCGGTGTACCAGGGCACAGCATCCCCACATCACATGGGCATGCATGCCTACCTTGGCCAGTTTGGACTCAAGTTTAGGACCAGAGTCAAGCAGAGGCTTGATTAAATTTAAATAATTCTCTCAAAAATGATAGGAGGGAGAGAAAAGAAAACTTTAAAAAATAATAAAAATAAAAGGAAAGAAAGTTAGAACTCACCGAAACCTATACTCCTGCTTTAAGAAGTTTAAAATACCTTGTGTGATGACATTTTTGATTGAGATTACTTCACTTAGGTGAATTTCCTTTTTATCAGGGCTCATTTATATAGCTAACTGTACTCTGTCTAGTCAATGCATAACTAACAGCTCTTCAAGTGGACTTTCTTTTGACTTTTTACATGTTTTTTTTAAAATCTCACTTTTCCCTCTCTTTCCTGTTTCCTGCTTTCCATCCAAAATCTTCTTTATAGTATGGTGAAGAGACCTTTTCTTTGGCAATTGAGTGCCAGTCAATTCAAACACATTGGAGAAAATATGGGTTTAGATAGCACTCAATAACTAGCTATCTAAATAATACCTGTTAAATAATTATTCAATCAGGATTCATGGCTTTGTACTCTCTCTACATCATTTAAAAAGAAATGTGGGGTTGGGGCCGCTGCTCAGTGGTAGAGTGCTTGCCTAGCACACAAAGGCCCTGGGTGCCAACCAAAGCACTGAAAAGAAGAAATAGAAGTTGCAGTTTTTCTTGAAAATATTTGTCTCTTTTGATTGTTTTTTTTTTCTCCTAGATTACAAGGCTTTTGAAGAGGCAGCTGAACACTTTCAGCCTTATATCAAGTTTTTTGCCACCTTTGACAAAGGGGTGAGTACCTATGAACCCCAACCCCCCCCCCCCCCCGTTAAACGCAAGAAGAATTAAAGACTGAATTTTCTATCACTTTTTCTTTTCTTTTCTTTTTTTTTTTTTTGGCAGCCTGAACCATCCTCCTTTGCCTCTTTCTCCAGAAGAGTTAGAAGTTTTGTTTCAGTATTGATTGAGAGATGAATGCAAAGATGATTAATTCAGAGGATGTAAGCATATTTCTAAACACAGCCAGTGAAAGATGAGGGCCACCTCTTAATTTCCCATGCACTAAGAATGGGAAGCAGGTGACCCCAGAGTGTGCAGAGCACTAGCCATCCTTTTCCTGTTCCTCTCCCTTCCTGGGGTTGCACATGACCTCTTCTGCTGAGTTAAAATTGGGAATTAAATGGGGAGAACACTGACCACATGAAGCCCCAGTGCTTTAGAAAGTTACCTTCAGGAAATGTCGTTGATGTAATTTTCTATAATCCAATTGCTTTTTCTGACTGGTTGTTACATGCGATTTTATAAGCCAAACAACAGCAGAGACCAATAGACCTTAAACCAATGGGTAGTTTACTTGGGTTCTATTACAATCAGAGTACTCCCCTCTGGTTCTCATAACTACTGTTATGACCACTACTTATTAAGTGTTTTCCTGAGTTTGGCAAGTTTGATATAAATTCAACTCTGTATCTGTGGGTTCTGCATCCAAGGATTCAACCAACTTCAGGCAGAAAATAATTGGGGAAAAAAAAGACCTGTTTGAACTGAACATGTGTCCACTTTTTTCTTGTAATTATTTCCTAAATAATACAGTTTGACACCTATTTACATAGCATTTACATCATATTAGGTATTATAAGTAGTCTAGAGATGACTTAAACTATACAGAAGATGTTACTTGATCATAAGCAAATAACATGCCGTTCAATCAAAGGGACCAGAGCATCTAGAGATTTTGGTGTCCTTGAAGGTCCCAGAGAACCATCCCCCGTCAGGTACTGAGGGATGACTGTATTTCATCTATATGATCTCTAACCCTTTAAACCACCTTGAGAGGTAAGACTCCTATTTATCAGAGAAAAGAGACTTAGAAAGATTAGGTAGTGGGGCTGGGGCTTAGGTAGAGGGAAAAGTGCTTGCCTAGCATGTGTGAGGCACTGGGTTCGATCCTCAATATCACATAAAAATAAATAAATAAAATAAAGGCATTGTGTCCACCTACAACTAATATATATACACACATATATATGTATATATAAAACTAGGTAGCATCTAAGGTCTTAAGATAATTAATGGTAGTGCTGACATCCCAATTTAGGACAATCTGTGCCCCAAACCTGTGTGTTTTCTCCTATATCATGACATTAAAAAGAAGATCCTATACCTGCCCTTAAGATTCAGGACGCATGAACACACACAACACATGATACACATATACATAACACACACATCACACACACAGAGAAAACACTCACACACACACCCCAACTGAAAACCATAAACTAACACATTTACTAGAACAAGAAAATCTAAGACAAACTAAATTTGAGATCAAACTCACATAAAAGTTAATCAGAGTGGCCTCCTAAGGAGTAAGGTAGTTGGTGGGCAGTGCTCATGGGCCTTTATGTCATGATGGCTTCAAATATTCTCAAAAAAATAAGGGAAACCAGGACCAGTAGATGCTGGATTAGGGAAGGGGCACAATAAAGAGATCACATTCTGTTTTATATCCTCTTCTGTGGATGTGGCCCCTGTCTTTAAGCCTACAATTCAGGAGAAAAGTCTATAATCTATGTAATGTTGATCATATTTTAGAGTTGAAAGAGATCTTAAGCAACGACACCCAAACAGTAACAACTATTGCTTATTAAGTACTTGCTATGTGCTTGGCTCTGTGCTAAGAGCTTCTTGTGGATTTTCTCATTCTAGTCTCTTACTGGGCCTGTAAGAGAAGAATAAGTATTCCATAGAGGATGAAGCTGAGGCAAGGAGAGATCAAGCGATTTTTGGTCACATAGTTGAGAATGGTGAAGCCTGATGTAGGTTCTCTATTCCCATACTCCAGAGAAAGCAGCAGCATTGGTAAAATGCTAACTGGTGTTGGGCATGTAGTAAATATTCATTCAGTGTTAGCCAGAATGTTATTAATAAGACAGTGGACATCTAGGCCCATGATGATGAGAGGTTGGGATGGGAACTTAGAGAAGAAGGAACACAGAAGCCCAGGCTGAGTCCATCTCTGGCATTCAATTCTGACAGGCCAGGAGTGGCTGAGGGGCTGCTGGTTAAGAACCCATCTGAAGGGAAGAGAGTCAGGCAGATGGACTTGGCCAGGCGACAAAGCCCTAGTTTTTTGGAGGGGTGGTTCCATTCTGAGCTCAGGGTAGTATTTGTTTTCAGAAGTTTTTCCCAGTCCCTCTGGATGGTTTCACATCTGTGGCCTGTAAAGAAGGTGAGGTCAGGCTATAATTAAAAACTCCAAAACCTTCTTTTAAAAAGCTTCTCAAAAAACTCCGACAGACACTGAATCATAAGCACCACTGTTCATGTGGGTTTTTCATAACATTTAAAAAGAGACGCGTTTTCTCCACATAGAACACAGAGGCTATTGCATCCATCATGGGGAACGAACGGGCAGTGTAGGTCCCAAACCTGTGCATCTTGTAAAAGTCCCCGGGAAGGTAACTGATAATGCAGATTCCTGGGCCCTGTCACAACCCAATTCCAGGAATGATATCACAGATCATTACTTTTAAAAGCTCCTGGGCGAATACCAATATTGACAGTGGTTAAGGACTACTGACTTCCACATCTACATGACCATCTTTGACATGTCCCTGTCCTTACAGTTCTTCAACTCATGGTAAAGGTTTCAGTTTATTCACTTATTTACTTTCTGTTTTCCCATCTTCTCTCCCACACTAAAATCTAAATTCTATAAGGGCAGGAATCAGTTTTTCTCAGTGTTGTAGACCCAACTTGACTTTTAAGAGTAGAAAATATTCTTATTTAACTGCAATGCCCCTGTAGCAGGGTCTGTTCCTAGATCCATGCCTCGGATACAGAAGACTCCTCTAAATATTTATTGATGAAATAAATGAATAAATGCCTCAGCCAGTCAAACCTCCTTCAGTCCTTGTCACCCAAGTCACGATTGAAAGAAAGAGAAAAGGATCTTCTGGGAGACAAAATGAGGTCACTCCCTGAGGGTGGAGGGAAGAGAGTGAAGAACCTTGTTTCGCCCAGATTTCTCACCGGTGTGACCAAAGGATCTGATGTGAACAATTTTAAGGAGGAAAAGTCTATTTGGGGGTTCAGGGTTTCAGAGGTCTCAGTGCATAGATGGCCAACTCCATTCTTTGGGACCTGATATGAGGCAGAACATCATGGTGAAAATGTGTGGCAGAGGAAAGCAGCTGGGGACATGGCACCAGGAAGGAGGGAGAGAGAGAGAGAGAGAGAGAGAGAGAGAGAGAGAGAGAGGAGGAAGGAGAGAGGGAAGGATCCCGACGCTCCACGGACAAAATATATACTCCTAAGGCACACCCCCAATGACCCACCTCCTCCAGCCACGCCCTCCCTGCTCCAGTTACGGCCAAGTGAATCCCTATCAGTGGTTTAATGCCCTGATTAGTTTATGGCTCTCATAACCCAGTCATTTCACTTCTAAGATTCCTTGCATTGTTTCACACCTGTGCTTTTTGGGGGACACCTCATATCTAAATCATAACAGAACTTCTGGAAAATTTTATTCAGATTTCCCAGTATTCCAGCTAAGAATGTGACAATCCAATTTTACATTCATAGACTTAACACTCAGACACTTGCCAGAGGGCCACCACCTCCACCACCATCACACACACACACACACACACACCCATACACACACACACACACACACACACGCAGGAATGCCCATTCTGCTTGCCTTGACAGTGGTTCTGACCAGCTCTCTACCACTGTCAGGAAGCCAGAAATATAGCAGATCATAAAGGGGGCGAATTGATGAGAACATATTACAAGAAACACAAAGAAACATCTCAATAAAACATGTGCAGCACCAACATAATGTTTATATGGAGACATTTATATCCTTCCCTTATGCCATCAAGAGATAATTGCAATGCCCCTGTAGCAGTTCTGTTCCTAGATCCATGCCTTGGATACAGAAGACTCCACTAAATATTTATTGGTGAAATAAATAAATAAATGCTTCAGTCAGTCCAACTTTCTTCAGTCCGTCATGGGGAACGGGCAGTGTAGGTCCCAAACCTGTGCACCTTGTAAAAATGCCCTCATCTTGTCTCCCAGAAGATCCTTTTCTCTCATTCTTAAAATAAATTATCATTTATTTTCAAATAAAAAGACAGTTGGATGGCAGGCAAGCTGGAGGTTTGCAGTGCTTCACTGATGTTTTCAAATTCTGAATTCTAACTCTAACCATCACCAGATATGTGAACCTCATCAAGTGGTAACCCAAATTGTGCCTCAGGTTTCTCATTTGTAAAATAAAACAGTTAAAACAGTTTTTACCTCATACAAAATGAGGACTAAATAAAGTAATCCACCTGAAACCCTTTGCCTGACAGACAGTAAGCACTCCGTGTGTTTGCTATTACCCCTTTTGTTCTCCCCATGGCTTCCTGTTTCAGAGAAGCCCAGGTTCTTGGTTCCTAGAAAACATATCAAGTAATCTCAAAGAAACCAGAATCCAATGTCATTTTTCAAGTTCATTCTAGCTTAGATCCAGCTTTGCAAAGAATTGTGTGTGTGTTGGGGGGGAGCAGAAATACCTAGCCATCTCAGCCCCCCATGGGACCTCTCTGGCAGGGCCCCAACTCCTAGTTTTCATACCCTTCTCCTTGAATGTGGGCTGGAGCTAATGCCTTATGTCTAATAAATAGAATACACCCCTTCCAAAACAAAGAATTGTTAGTAAACCCAGACTCTGGTTGTATGTTTGCTCTTCCTCTCCTCCCTGGCTTCCTGCCTGATCACTTCCTCATCCACACTGCATACTCACCCCAACAAAGAGAGCGAGGAAAGTAAGGAAAACCCCACATTTCTCTCTCTCTTAAAATAAAATCAGCATGACAATAAGACTGTAGACTGCATGATCTTACTCTTCACGTGGCCTGTTTTCTTTAACTCTGGGTAGGCTGCGGGGATTTCTTTCCCTAAGTACTATAAGAAATATCTTTTGGGATATAGTGACCTGGAATTAACAGCAACTGATGACAAAAGCCATATGAAACCAAGTGTTTCCTCAGAATGGACCTCCTTGTGTAAGAGCTTATGTAACACCCAGTTCTTCCCTCTCCCCAATTAGTCACAGCCCCCAGGTCACTGGGTCACTGCATTGTGGTTACCACCACAGGGCGTCAGCTCTTAGGCAATTCCTCTGTAGTTTCAAGGGAACCACTGTTCATCCCAGCACTTTCTTGGACTAAAGCTCTGAGCTAGAAAAGAATGGCATGGGTTTTCTATTGAGCATTGCACATTCCAGGCCTCTCAAATCATGTCACAAAGAAAGATCCTGAGTTCAGTGGCTTTGCAGGCAAACACAGACATGTAGCCACTTTAATCAAGAGGGAAAATGTGTTCCAGGTTAAGGCCTCGGCCCCCAAGCTTTTTAATCTATTATAGGGTGAGCCACTCATCCTGGGTTCCTGGGAACTATCCAGATTTTAGCACTGAAATTCCCACATCCCAGGAAACCCCTCTGCCTTGAACAAAGCAGGATGAATGGTCACTTTACAACTGTTGGTTAATAGGCTGGGCAGTTCCCAGAGCCTGCCAAACCAGGCAAGGCTGGTACTGAGAGACTGAATCCTAGGGCCCGAGCTTCCACCTAAACAGAAGTTAGGGTGCAAGAGCTGGTGCAGGACAGATTAATGGATTGACTCTTGATTCTGTGTACTTGTATGCTTTAACAGTTTCCATCAATTACCTGTTTCATCAAAATGGGTTCAATTAAATCCATTCAACCCAGTGTATTAAATGTGCTCCATTGGCATTTCCTTCCTCCTCCAGCGCTGGCAAATGCACTAGAGAGATGGTGATTATACAGTTAACTTTGCATTCCAACTCTTCCCTGCCCCTGCTTGACCTTCATTTGCCTCTTTGATCACAGAAGGAGATTGGTCCAGCCCAGGCCACATGTGATGAGGTCCCGTTGTTCCAACCTTCGGGCTAAAACTGCACATACGCTCTCATGTCTTCATCAGAGAATATGAACACTTCTGTCGGATGGGCAACCCACTGCTACTCTGAATCACCATCCAAACACACAAACTAAACTATTGTCTTGTTTGTGCTACAGGTTGCAAAGAAATTGTCCTTGAAGATGAATGAGGTCGATTTCTACGAGCCATTTATGGACGAGCCCGTTACCATCCCCAACAAACCTCACACAGAAGATGAGCTTGTGGAGTTTGTGAAGGAACACCAAAGGTGCCAAAGATGGCAGATGGGGAGAGTGGGGGGCTGGGGAATTAGGAAGAACCTCTCAGACCCACAAGAGCAGCAACCTAGATAGAGTAAGTTCCCTAGCAGAAGAGAACTCAGTAGTATGGCTTTGTTAGTCATTGATATGCTTATCAGCATTACTCCCATAAGTTATTATTGATGAATATGGGTCTGTCCTTGAAAGTAGGTCAGACTGCCTCCCCTCACCAGCAAGCCCCCTCAAAGTCATAGTAAAATATAAGTAAAATTCTACCCTAATAACGATATCTGTTTAGTGAAAACTTCCTCTGTGTCAAGCACCGTGCTGGGTGCTTTATGGGAGCTACTTGATCTCATCTCCAATATTACGAGGTGATCATTATTATCCCAGTTTGACAGACCAGGGAATAAGACTCAGAGTATTTAAATAACGAGTCAAGGATAAACATTCTATACATACAACTTCTGGGAGAGGAATATTTGATACCACTTAGAGTAGCTCTAGCAGAGATCAACAAACTTTTTCCCTAAAGGAACAGCTAGTAAATATTCCAGGTCCTGTGGGCCAGATGGCCTGTCTTGAAGCTGCTCAACTCTGCCCCTGTAGCATGAAAGCATCCATAGACCATGTATAAACACATGGATGTGGCCATGTCCCAATCAAAGTTTGTTTACAAAAACAAGAGTCACTGGCTGATTGGGCCCACCAGCTGTAGTTTGCTGGATGTGCTCTTGGTGGAGAGACAATACTGGAACATGGACCATGTCAGTGGGTTCACTACCTCACCCATCCTTCCTACCCCACACATGCAAAAGTGTGTCCATTGAACCTGGAGAATCATGATCCCAGTGCCTGGATAGTCCTAGTCTCTGTAGGGAGGCAGCACTTGGAGGAACAAATATTAATAAGTCTAGCACTATTTGCCAACATTCAGAAAGAAATTAAACTGTGAGCAAATGTAGATCCTTCCTTCCCCCCTCAAAGATTCCTAAGGAGCTTTTGATGGATGGACTCTGATAACAAACAATGGCAGATTCTGGGCTGGGACAACCAAAACTTCCTGTTTTTTCTCTCCAGCTTCCTCCTTCTGGGCCTGTTCTGGGCTCTCAGGAGTGGAGCTGTCAGTTAGGAGGGAAATGCTTCTTGCCCTGGGTATGAATGGCCCCTGAAGCCTCTGACCCATTGTTTGTAGTAGGCTTTACATGCCTTGGATCAAATGGGCCTATGAAGAGGCTGAGTGACTGAGACCCAGCTCCAAGTCCCATACAGCAGGGTAGAGCAGCTCTGCTTTCCTAGGCAGAGAGGAGTTCAGGGCTCTTCATCATGTCTCATCTACACCTGGTGGGGCTGAGGCTGGTCTCCCACATGGCGATCTCTCCTCAAGGAAGCTCCTCCTTTTTTTCAGACCTACTCTACGTCGCCTGCGCCCAGAAGATATGTTTGAAACATGGGTAAGAAACTGGCAAACTCTTCCTGCCTTGTAGACACCCCTTTGGTTAAGTCCCAGGACTCAAACTAGGTCTTATTTGGCTGGGGTGGATGTCTAGATGGTGGACTATTTGGAACGTGGACAGTGCCATGCTCAGTTTGAACCCAGTTTTCCGTGGATCCAATGTAACCCTCTTCGGTATTTTTCACTGGGCAAAATTACTGTGTTGAGCTCATTTCTCACATGTTTTGATGACTTCCATTGATAGACCATCAGAGACCCAGAGTAATATAGTGGAAGGAGCTCAGGCTATAGAGTCATAGAGACTTGGGCTCAAGTTCAGAATGTGCCACCTAGTAGCTTAGTATCCTACATCAAGCCATGTGGTCTGGCTAAGCTGTAGTTTCCCCATCCTAAAATCAGGACTTTCTGTAAGGATAAGTGAGATGAAGAGTTTAGAATATGGTAAGTACTCCATTAGTGAAAAGTAACATTTAAAAAAAATATCAACTCAAGGCACTGGAAAGTGACTGAATCAGATTGTCCTTGTGGTCAGTGACATAGACACTATGCCAGATAGTAATTAGAAAGAGGCCCCTGGAGATATACTCCTCACCCTGGCTTCAGATTTGTACACATTCCATCAACAATAACAACCAAAGTCTGTGGAGCATTTTCCAAGGTATTTCGCATGTCCTTTTTATTGGGCCTCTCAACAGTTCTAGAAACTGGGGTAGAACAAGTATCACTTTAGCCCATTTTACATATGGAAAAAATGATGATCATGCAGATTAGGTTAATTACTCAAAGAAACATAACTCATTAGTTTGGGGGACTTTAATTAAGGCCATCTGAAGCCAACTCTCATGTTGTCTCCAGTATGCCTCCCTAGAGTGACCCTGTCCCCACCAGTATGCCATTTGGGGTGGGAGTAGGGGTTAAAGGATTAACATGGAAGCATTTTTTTTAAATACTCTAATTCATGATCAGGGGTGATGGATAAACAGGACCATGGAGTAACTTTATACATACTGTTTTGTCGGCATGTAACTCAGATGAATTTCTGAAAGGAGAGAAAATATTTCATAGACACTGAAGGACGAATAACTGAGTCTAGAGGAGTGCATTATTTAAGAAAAACCAAGTATAGTTAAAAACCTATTTTCCTAACATTTAAGCCTTTCAAAAAATTAACCTTTAAAAGGTCTCGTTCCTAAGTTTAAAAATAATAACAACAAAAGGGTATAACAATGCTTTAAATGTAATATTCCTTTTAAAAATTGATCTAACCTTTTACTCTAAAATAATTTCAGCTTAACAAAATTAGTGCAGAGAATTTCATTATTTCTTCACCCAAATTCCCCAAATGTTAACATTTTGCCATCATGACTTCCTGTCTCTTTCTCCCTCTCTCCATAAATATTTGTGTGTGTGTGTGTGTGTGTGTGTGAGAGAGAGAGAGAGAGAACTGTTTGAGAGTAAGTAGCAGATGTGATTCCCCTTTATCCTAAATACTTCAAGTATTTCTAAACATAAGCATTTTTTCTAATAGTCATAGAACAATGGTGAAAATCATCACTGATGTAACTCTGCTATCTAATCCATAGACGTTATTTATACTGACCAGTTATTTCATTAATGTCCTTCATTGCAAAAGAAAAACTTTTATTTTTTTCCTGGCCTAGGAGCCAATGCCAGATCCCATATTTGCATTCAGTTGCTATGTTTCTTTAGCGGCCTTTAATCCTGAATAGATTCATGATCTTTCTCTCTTTCTTAAAACAAATTACCATTTTAAATTGAGAACGATCACTCCCAGTCTGTTCTGTTGTGTCTTTATCTTTAGTTTTTCTATTTCCCTTATCCCTAAAAAACAATTCTCCGTGATCTAGGCAAGGGTATTTAGTTTAACCAAGTCGAGAAAGGACTCTAGAATGGTTTGCTCTTTCCTAACACCCCTGCTTTGCCTTCCTCCCTGTTGGGAAACTTGGATGAGGGCTGTCTGGGTCTGGTTAGGGCTTCTGTGACTGGTCCAGAATGTGGATGCCCAACTGGAGAGCACTGCTCCAGAGTGACATCCTCATAGACCACCTAACCAGGTATTGTGGAAAGTGGCCAGTTAATGAAGTTAAGAATCTTTATCTTCAACAGCCACTTTCTCAGACATTGAAAAACTTTTAAATAAGATAGGAAAGCTAGCTAGAATAAAGTAACTATTTACCTTTTTCTACCCCCCACCCCAATTATGTAGGTTTCTAAAGTCATAGATCATCTGCAACCTATCGTATTATTACTAAAGAAATTGGTGCCTAGTAATATTTGGTATGTGTAAATCCAAGAACACTTATTTATTTGTAACACTAGAAAAATTTCAAGGTGAGGCAGGGCAATCCAAATGCAGTGCTGACCTGTCATTCTCCTTGGACACTCCACCCCCATCCTGGCAAATGGTCAGTCAGAGTCCTTGGCAAGTGTCCAGAGGGGATGAGAATCAGTGCTTTCTTCTAAAACAATCCTCTCTCTATTGCAATAGCAAGGCACTTCCAAAATGAGGCCAAAGACTCCTAGACAAGGCCGAGGCCGCTACACTGCACCTCAGTTAGGAAGCCTGTTAGCCTAAACTACTTATTTTTCCCCTCTGTGCCTCTTCATTCAATAGGAGAACATTCAAAAGAGATGAAGGAAATAAAATATTGACACTGGCAACATATCTGGTTATTAGAAAAGTGATAAGGCTAATTTCTTCTTAGTATCTCTACTAGTATCTAGTTTTCTTTAGTGACAATCTAAGATTTTTATAGTCACACTCTTTTTTTAATCAATCAACATTAATAAGAACCTATAGGGCTGGGGTTATGGCTCAGTGGTAAAGAGCTTGTCTGGCACGTGTGAGGCACTGAGTTCGATCCTCAGTGCCATGTAAAAATAAATAAATAAAATAAAGGTATTGTGTCTATCTACAACTAAAAAGAAAGAAAGAAGAAAGAACCTATAACATTGGTTTCTATTTTGAAATCTCATGTCCAAGGTGATGGTATTAGAAGGTGGGGCCTTTAAGGGTGTTTGGATCATGGGGGCCCTCATGATTGGGGTTATTACCTTTATGCAAAAAGTCGCAAGAACTAGTTAACCCTTTTATCTATGAGCCAAAGTGCAGGGAAAATCCAAACTCTGAATCTGACAGTGACTTCCTCTTTGACTTCCCAGCCTCAAGAAAAGTAAGAAATAAAGTTCATTGATTTCTGTTATTTATAAGCTCCCCACTTTGATATTTTGTTATGGCAGTCAGAATGGACCAAGGCAGTGGGCTTTGGGGCCAGAAAGAACTGGCTGGAATCCCACTATGTCAATTACTAGCTCTGCAGCCTTGGTTAAGTCACCAATTCTTTAAGTATTAAGTAGGAATAGGATTTTTATTTGAGATTTAGAGATAATATATTTACAAAGTACTTATACAAAAGTGGCAAGTGGAAGATACTGTCAACATTTGAATCATCATTTTTTCAAAATATTCTTAAGTTGTCAATGGATCTTTTAAAAAAAATTTTATTTACCCATTTATTTATATGCAGTCCTGAGGATTGAACCCAGGGCCTCACACATGCCAGGCAAGTGCTCTACCACTGAGCCACAACTCCAGCCCCTCAAAATTGTTATTTTGAAGCATGATAATTCTCCTAGAGAGCTGACCACCTATTTGATAAGAAAAGATTTGTGCAATTAAAAAGGGAATTTCCAAGGCAGTATGATGTAAAGGCCAGATGGTTGCTCTAGGTAGCAAAGACTTCCAGGTTCAGAGAAAGCCCTTAGTTTTCTCAGTCCTGCAGGGAGCTCACCTCTTTCTGGCCTGTGCACACTGGGTTCTTACCGACTCATGGGCTTGCCGTGGACTCTTGTGAGTTTATTACTGAAAATACCTGGCCCCTAGCATGCACCTGCTTCTTCTTGGGTGTTCAAAAGAGGTTTGTGTGCTGAATCTGTGAGATGCAGGCAGAGAGGGGCTCTGTCCCTTGGTTACAGCTCTCCAGCCAGGGACAATGTCAGGCCTTGGAGAGTGACAGGCATATTACGAGCAGCCTCTTAGAAAACGAATATGGATTCTTAATTCAAAAACCAATTTCCAAACGCCTTCTAGAAGGGCACACAGAAATGAGGCCTGCTTCAGAGAGTTAACAGCACTCACTTCCAACTGATGGCAGGAGACAGAGATGCAGGGCAGCCTAATGAGAACTGACCGGGATATTCCATCTGGCAAGAATAGCAAATGTAAAACAGTAAGACCTCAGACTCCCCTTCTGGTTGCTGTCGGATTTGTGTAATAAACTGGCACGCACACACATATCTATATCTGTAAAATTCAATTCCCCAAAGAATCTGACCAAGGCAGTGCCCACTGTCTTGTTTTTAATAATAATATTTTCTATTTAATCTCTCTTAGAATTTTTTGGAGGTTTTGTCCATTCTATACTCATAGGGGAAAAATTAGCATTTAGATAGGATTGCAACAGCATTAAAATCAATTGAAATGGAAACGGAGATCTGGGGAGGGTTGAGATGCATGGAGTTTTGTTTTTTTTCCCCCTATAAGATGATTCTGGTATGCCATTCAGGGTGCCCAGTGAATACCTCTCCCATGTCATAATCAGTATTCACTTGGCTTTGTCCCCAGGTGCCTCTATCTCACACATATTCCTCTCCAAATCTCCTAGGCATCACATTTCTTTTCACAGGGCCCCTCCGATGCTCCTACTTTTCCTCCTCCTGCAACAATCAATGCAAAGGAGACACAAGGCAGAAGGCCCTTTGTGTCCAGGATGTGGAAACACAAAATGCCTCTTGCTTGCCCATTATTTGAAATACTCTCTCTGGTTTCTTTTCCTTGTCCTGGCCCCCACCGCCACACTCACTATTCCCTCAATCATACACCCTCAGTCTTCCAGAGACCCCAATTCATGAGTCTTCTTGAGGCCTCCCACACTCATAGAAATGCTCATACTGATTTGGCAAGCTTTGGATTGAGAGCAGAAAGGACCCCAAGGAAACCCCTGGAGGTCACAGCCAGCAGGGTGTCCCCCTACTAACTTCATGGGCTGTTTCTTCAACCAGAGTCCTAACTTGTATAAACAACAACAACCCACATCCTAATAGACCTGGAGGGTTCTCATCTGCTGCCCACTTGGGGATGGTTTCAGGATCTATCAGCAGCATGCAGAAGTTCCCATAATCTGATATATTGCTGATGATACCTCCTGGTGGCAAATTCTTGAAACAGACTGGTAGCCGCAGTCACTGAGCTGCCTCTGCATGCTTGCTTCCCCGGAAGCTCCTGATAAGCCAGACTCACATTCTTCCTCATTTCACTTTTTACTGCTGCTCTTCTGGACTGACCAAACCCAGGAGTGAGATCCATGTAGTGCTTATGTCTTGGTATGTGTAGCTGGTGTTCTCCCATCTAGCAAACCCATTTATCCAAATCCCTGATCAAAATTCTATGCATTCCTGCCAGCTGCTCATCTCTGTCCCCTTCCTTAATGTATGCCCTGCTCTGTTCCTCTGTATCTCCATGTCCGTTCCCCTTCCACGTCCTGCAAACCTCCACCCACCCATTTCCAGTCCAAACCTCTGTGTCCCTGTCCCTGGCTCACTCCTCCATCTGAGAGTGTGACCTTGGTTTCTTTTCTCCTTCAGGAGGATGACTTGAATGGGATCCATATCGTGGCCTTTGCAGAGAGGAGTGACCCAGGTAGGACACCCCCCATCTGCTTAGCTGTTAGCAGAAACTGTCTCACCTTACCTTCTCCTCCCTCGCATCCTTTCTATGTGGCAACCGCAAGATATTGGGCACCCCCTGGTGGTCACCTGTTAGGTGTGAATCTGTCTTCAGTTGTGCACACAGCTAAGGGAAGAGGAGAAGGTGTGGACAAATTAGAACTTTAGACATTCTGCTTAGCGGCCCCAACTGGAGGAGTGTTGGGCACTGGCGAGAGCACTAGAATATGCAAGCTCGACAGGACATGTGTGTATGAACTTCTGTTCACTTTAAATATTTAGTCACCAATTTCATGATCTAGCCTACATAAATCACATCTTATGTTAATGTAATAACACATGTATCCTTCAACAGAATAAAACATATTTCCCTAAACTATGAGAACTAAGCAAACCAAGCAGCTTATTTTACAAAGTGCAAGACTGACTCTATAATTGAATGAGTAATTCTTTTTATTGCAACTTGCACAACTTTTCCCTGGTGAAGTGCAGAAAAATTGAATTTTGCAGGAGGTGAAATGCTGGTTCCCTAGGGCGATGCTCTGTGAGATACAGTGGTCCCCAAAAGAAAGTGAAAATAGAGATCCTGTGTCCTTTTAGAGACCTGAAACCATCCAGAATGCAACCTAGGATGCAAGGAGCTCCATCATGAATGGCTTAGCAGCCAGGCCTTGGGCCATGAGGTGCCTGGGCAGGATTCCAAAACCTGACAGTGTCCAGACTGCAAAGTACCAAAGATCCCTTGAGCGACCTGAGACAGACCTTAGCCAAGTTGTATGCACCATCAGACTTAGGAAGCACTGCTCTAGGAAATGTAGACTCGAAAGGTGTTTGTCAGGACTTTAGCTACTCTTGGAGGGAGACATCGAGAGGTGACCTCCAACAGGCTCAGAGAAATTTTACTAGCTATCCAAGAAACACACTTGGTGGAACATCATGAAGGAGAGACAGATGTCTTTCAGTATACCTAATTCTTCAAAATGCCTTGACACATGGCAGGTGCCCAAAAAATATTTGTGGGACAGATTGTCAGATTGACTGCAACCCAAATTCTTTTACAATTAAAAAAAATGAAAATATCATCCACATCATCATTACCCTTTTAAAATGCACAGCTCAGTGGGGGTTTTGGATATCACCAAGTTGTGCAACTTTGTGATACTACTTAAGTCTATAACATTTTCATCCTGTATGATGTTTCCTAGGTGTACCCGTGATACAGTGTGTATCAGTATTTCACTCATTTTTAGGATCAAATAATATTCCATTACATCAAAACCAAATAAATTTATACTCCAAATCACCTGAGAGCTTCCTCTACCTCTCCTGTTCATTTTTTTTTGAATATCTGTTAATGTGCCAGATTTCTTATTATAAATTTGCACAGTTGGAAAACCTCTTCAAGGAGATCGTGGCCTTGTCCATAAATAAGTGAGTAAATAAATAAAAGCCAGAATAGTTTCAACTTCTTTTCACAGTTTCTGACCATCCTCTATCCCTGGGGGAGAAAATACCAAAGGAAGCCAGTTGCCTAAGGTTTACAAGCAATAATCAAACAGAATCGGATCCCTGGTGTTGTGTGAACTGAGATGAAGTTGCTACTGGCAGCTGCTGGCTGGCAGGACTCCAGGGAACTTCCTTCCCGCCCCACTGCCCCCTTCCAGGATTGTGGGGAGGCCTGTCTGGCTCTCTGCAACAATGGAACAAAGAGCCCTCCCTGAATTGCAGAAACCTGTTTGACCGAGATTGCTGCTGCAATGAATCAAGCTCCTGAAACTTCTTCTACCTCCTCCCTACACAAATATCCCTGGGCCTGAAAGCTCTGCCTTTCTCCCAAGGAGACCAAGCTGGGGCTTGTTTCTCAGAAGCCGAAGCACTGCACTGAGGGGAGGGGGAGGAGCTCTGCAAGCATCGTCTTTCAGCAGAGGGAGGACCTTGCCAATCAGACTGGAAAAATGAAGGGCTTTTCCATTCTGGTCCCTGACTTTGACTTTGTGGTTAGTCAGTGATTTACCTGCAGGGCATCCATGTGTAACCTGGGCCCAGAGGCCTGGCTACAGGATTAAGAATTTCAATTCTGCCCAGGACAGTTCCTTGGATAACTTTGCTCTTGCTAACAAGTTGTGCAGGACCTATTGCCTGACCAGACTGCTACCTGCCCTGCCAAAGGAGGAAGGGTATACATCCAGGAAAGCAGCACGATTCTTCTTAAAGAGCTAACAGTATTGAAGAACTGAGCTGGGAGTTTTCTGTAGATGATTTCATTTAGTCCTAAAGTCATTCGGTGATGTGTAGATGGTGATTTAATTATTATTCCAGTGACATATGAGGAAAGGGAGTCTTAGAGATTAAGTAACTTGCCTGTAGCACCCACAGCACTTAAACTAAAGTTCACATTCTAGTAGGCTCTCTAGAGCATCAGGATTAGGTATCGTGATTATGATGAAGGTGGTAATAATGTCATTCACTGTGTGCTTATATGACATAATCCCACAAGGGAGGTTCTATTTTTATACCCATTTTAGGAGTGGAGGAAGCTGAGGCTGAGAGAGGTTAACTTGCTGGGAAGCAGTGGCATTAAGCTGAGGGCTGTGTGGCTCCCCACCCACACCCTTATGGGGAGACATGCTGCAGACATTTACTTATATGCCATTCTGAGTCCTACCATTCAGTACACCTTCTCCCTTCTCCGCTGTCTTTCACCACCCCCTCCACCTCCAGTATTTGAAGGACAAGAAAATGGAAACCCAACAAGTTCAGTAGCATGCTCAAGATCACAGGGCTATGGGACCACAGAAATGTGAGCTTAGATTTCCTGAGGGCTTCTTCAGGGAAGAAGTCCACCCTATCACACCACCTCTCCAACAGTGCCCCTGCCAATCGGCAGGCCTCGGGCTCTGAGCATGCTCAGTGCTGCTGCAGTGTAGGGAGAAAGGGCAAGGGCTGTGTGAGCAGGAGGAGGGCAGGAAAGCGAGAAGAGAGCAGAGCCATCTGGGAGCTTGAGTGCCCAGTTAATGAAGACGAATCCCACTTTCTTTGCTGCTCACTGATGTTCCAGGATTTGGAATCTGAGATTATAAAGCAGCATCCATCACTCATATCTCTCCCAGTGGCCTGGACCCACAAGGACTCTTGTTGCAGTTCTGACCTTCACAGGGCTATGGTGGCCCACCACAGAAAGCTGAGGATAGGCAGGCCTCCTGGGAGAAGGCAGTGCCCTCTGTCCTGACCCTGGAGCGTAACCGTCAGGTTCCTCCTTGCAGTAAGCTCCCATCCCAGTGCTGTCAGGGAGACCTGGCTGGGAAGGACATTGCCTGGGTTCTGTTGTCTTGCTGGGGACCCACAGCAGCCCTAGTACCTCCACCCAAACCTTCTTTCCCACAGCAGCACTCAAGTGCCGGCCCAGAGCTGCTTGTTTGACAGCTTTGAAAATGAACGGCTTTCTTGCCTGCCTCCCCCAGATGTGTCTGCATCAGGCTGACATCTTCTTTATAACACTTGATGAAAGGTTTGCAAAGCAGCGTTTCTACATGAGCGCGTGCTGGATGGATATCCTCCAAGGGCACCAGGAATATTAGCACTAACAAGCTGGAAAGGCAAGGACAGGCTGCTGTCTTGAGGAGTGGAACAGAATTAGTGACAGGCCCTAGAAGCAAGTCTCCAAGCCCTGTTGCACCTGAGCTTCCACTGCCTCAGGTTCTTGTAAAAATGATTTTGAGACCAATTGTCTCCATCAGGAACACTAAATGCTTCTTTAAGTTTTTTAAATTTAAAGTTGGTTTAGCAAGTTCGATATTCGATTCTTACTAGCTTAGATGCTAAACATTATTCCAAACATTAGTGCACGTAATCTTTACAATAATTCTCTGGATAAGGGCTGTTATTTCATCTTCCCCAGGGTACAGATGAGGATGCACAGGTACAGAGAAATTAAATAGTATCCCACAGTCATATATCAAGTAACAGGTAGAAATGGGATTCAAACCCAGCAATCCAGCCTCAAGTCTGGGCTCTGTAACCACCACCTTATGCTTCTCTCCATCATGAAAATGCATCTGTCTTCCGAATTCTGGGGTTCAAGGATTAGGAGAAGACAGAACATAGAAATAAGTCTAAGTAAGGAGCAGCAGGGTCCTATGTCTCAGGCACCATCTCAAAAATACAGGGCCCACACAATGTCCCCCGTTCTAAGTAGACATCTTGCGCTCACATGTGGCTTCTGGGTGACTGTGTTTTGTCAGGGAGAACTGCCAGCTGTGTCTGTCCTTCTGAGGCTCCCTATAGGGCACAGGCCCACAGAATTCTGCTGTTGGAGAATTCCATACCTACTAAGTAGGCTTTGGCCTGAGGACCCCCTGAGCCTTTCTGAGAGAAGACCTGCAGGGGTGGTTATCTGCCTCACATACCTGTGTGTCCCAGCACCTGGCCCTGGGCCTGGAACATTGTGAAGATTCAAAATATACCTACCGAAGGCAAAAGGAAAAAAAAAAAAAAACCTTCCCATCAATGAAAAATGAAAGTAGTGAGAAAAAACTTCAAATGAATAAAAGGTTGATATGGGTATAGGAGGGAAAGGAAGAAGGCCCAGGACAGGTGCCCCACCGTCTTTACATGATGACAATAGCGTCTCCTAATTATCAGCAAGCCTATGGAGTAACAAGGCAGCTATTTGCTCCATTTCCAGAGGGAGAAATGGAGGACCCAGAGGGGTTAAGGAACCTGTGTGAGGTCCCCCAACTTCAGACCTAATGTCCTCTCCAGACATAACCTCTAAGCTGCGCGACGGGCTGGCCCCTGGCCTACTTATTTGTGTACCTGTCACATGGCTGTCCCAACCCTCAGCCTCTATGCCTAGGCAGAGACCCTAAGGCTCACAACTCTCCATGATGTGGAGTCGGGGGAGGGATCCTTCCAGTGCCTAGTAGGGTTAAGCACAGCCAGTTCCCCAGGATTAGCTTACAGGACAGAGGTTAA